CCTCCATTCTTCTTCTTCCTCCTGGAATAGACCTGTCATTCCTCTTCCGAAGTTTGGTTCGCTTGATCTTGGTCTAAAGTGTGCTGGGAATGTGCAGGCTGATCTGTTATTGAATCAAAGGAACACTCTCGTGTGTCTTGGCATGTGAGTGAGTCTTCCATAACAATAGGTGGTATGAGCACAATTGGATCTGTAGCTGTAGTATGTTGTTCTTCTTCAGGAACTGCGGTGTTGGGAAGAGGATCGGGTTGCATCTTCTCAACAGGCGCATCTTCTCAACAGGGATTAGCGATATTCGGCCTTAGATGAGGATGCAAACGATAGCAAATATTAGAGTTGTGGCTAAACATACTACAATGAAAGCAATAAAGAGGATGTGGTTCAATTTCAACCTTTTGCCAATACCCATTGTGCATAGTGTCAATCCATATCTCATCAGGAGCTGATTGAGTGATATCTCTCTCAACTAACACACAAGCCACAGAGGGTCTAGTGACAGCAAGCGTAGGACTATCCACCTTGAGAGACTTAGTCTAAGCATAAACAAATGCTAAAGAGTAGAGAATTTTAATGTTGAACAGATGTAATTTTAACCATGAAAACTTTATCCAAACAGGAATGATTGGGGACTCCGCTTTTGGATCAAAACCGACAGTCTACTTTATCCAAACAGGAATGATTGGAGACTCCGCTTTTGGATCAAAACCGACAGTCTACTTCAGAAGTTTTATAAAACGATAATCAATCTTGATGTTTTTCGAGAGAAAATGCGAGTGTAAACGACATCATGAGATATCTGAATAAGTATATGTCTACCATCAAGTAGGCCAATGTTCCAACTGTATGATAGTATATGTCTATATATACATATATATACATATGCATAGAAAAATTTGTACCTTCTTATATTCAGAATTGAATGAAGCATTCAGCCATTTTTCATTTATCTTTGCTTCTCTCATTATTTTACCTTCATCTCGCTATATATTTGAGGTAATTGATTGGTGAGGAATGTTGGTGTTAGTTGATGACTCCGATCCTTGAAAAGATCATTGGTCATTTTTTTATATGACACCACCCGACACAAGTCTTGCGCCTCTTGTGTCTCATTTGTTTGGTCAGGCCATCGTCTCGGTCAGGTCCTACCTTTCATCATGACTCGCTACTGGGATAATGTGCATCATACCCTACACAGAGCTTGTCACTAACAGGCAGGAAATCACTTCCACCGCTTTATTTGAGCATGTACTTGTTTATGCTTGGAGTTGAGGGTTGAATTTTTAACGTTAGGATACCAATCAGACATTTATGATGTCGATGTCGGTCATCCTTATTTTTTTCTACTAATCGGACATCTTTTATGTCATTGTAGATTTACTTTAAGATACTAGCGCCCGACTCACGTCTTACTCTTTTTCAGGTCTTGGTTACCTGGTCAGATTTTCTTCATCAGGATTACCCCTTCTGCAAGGCTTATTAACTGGATCTTGTCGCTCCATTCACAGGGGTAACCATGGAAGCTTGCTTTGGGGGTGATTTACTCAGTACCCTTCACAGAGCTTATCGCTACCAGCAAAGAACCACCTCTATAACTCTATCCAATTCACATTTGGAGACAAAGTTTCATGATGTGGAAGAGTTGTGGGCCACTCTACTGACCGCACATCTTTGGCATCATTGTCTACATTGCTACTTAGGTTCGAGTTCCCTGAGTGTCAATTGAAACTGGGAAAGAAAATATCAAAAAGGTTCATTTTTTTTCTTTCATAGTATAAGAAATAAAGAAGGTTTGAAATGATAACCCCTTTTCATCGCAAAGGTAGACGTCAGCCGCCTGAAGTTGACCAAGCGTTGTCAAGGTGTCAGTCGGCTTTCCCTTAGGGAATATCTTTGACCATTAAAGTTGGTTATCCGTTTCAAGTGAGGTTCTCACCTCTGAGCCAAAGCCTCTCAGAAGATGACGTAAATAGGATTTTTTGGTTCCTGGATCTTTTGTTGCATGGACTCCTTGGTCCACTCTTTGTTATGAATGTATTTGTGGTGCACCTCTCCTCATCGGTGGCATTCATATTCTTGTTGGTAGCATGTTTCACACTCACTGCACCTTTCAGAATGTTGAATTCAAATTTGTCCTGTGAAACATGCCCGAGGAACAGAGCAGTAGAAACCAAGGGAGAGAGAGGGAGATGGAAGGGTATAGCGGCTTGCCCCTTAGGGGCAAAATGAAAATTCTCGAGCTCTTTGACACCTTTTATATATTGAATACGGAGATTAAGAGAAAAATGGGAGAGAGAGTCGCTCAGAAGTCTCTAATACATGATCTAATCTCCCTATTCATAGAGATAGAAGGGAAAATGTAACCCCAGCTTTAGAAGTGTTGTACAAGGCATCCTAGCCTTTTGCATGCCTGGACCTTTTGCTCGGCAGGTCCTTAGGTTGGTCAACTGAGTTAGTTTTGGTCGGCTTTCATCTGGGCACCGCTCGACTTAAATTCTAGGAAGTCGGTCGATTCTTGAGTCAGACAGCCTGTTGACTTTCCTAATTATTGTTCCTTGGCAAGCTTTTGGTGATTTTTGGGGAGCCGTTAAAACAACTTTTTGTTAATACTTTTTAGATTGTTGGAGGTGTGAGACTGTTTCCTTCAGAGTAGTCGACATGCATGCCCGTCTCTTATAGGCATGGGTGGCCCTTCAGTCGGTTGAACTTGCGTTTAGTCGGTTGGTCCCCTTCAGTCGGATAGGTTGGTCGTCAGTTGGTCAAATTCATGAGGACTTATGATTCTTTGTCAAAGAAATCCTTTTCATATCTCCTTTGATCTTGAATCATTAGATTATCTCGAGATTTGTGTTGACACATTTTTGGAGTACAATAGAGTTTATTAAAAAAATCTTTCACAACTAAAATATATAATTAATCATAAGAACTTGTACGTATAAGAAGTCAGTCGTCATAACAGAGGGTAAGTCTCTACTAATGCCTTACCGTAAATAATCAATCTACCGTTAGAAAACTTAATTAGTAATCACCGATATACCTACAAAACCAATTATGATTTTCAAAGCTCACAATAAATGAATGCAAATTTAGAGATGAATGAAAGGAGAAGGAGCCAAAGAAAACAAAATTTTGGGCTTAGAGTTTCACATTACAAAATATGACAAGAACAAGTTAACGAGTTATACAAGCAAAGAAAGAGAAAATAAGAAAAAATAAAAATATGCTTAAATAATAATAATACTTCTAATACATGGATTACAAGTTGCTAGAAAAGTTCAAACTACACGAGTCGAGCATAAACTCTTAGACAAATACTACTCCACTCAAGCCTAATCTCGAATACAAACTGCAGTTCTAAATTGAAATGGAATCAGGGATCCTCTAAGGGTCCATTTAGAGCAGTTGTAGCTGTTTGAAGAAGTAATTATGAAGCTACTGAAGAAGAAGCTACTGTTCAAAAAACTACGGTGACTATTACAAAAAAATATATCCTATTGAAAAAATCAAACCACAGTTTTCTAGCAGCCACGACAGGGAAGCCTCCGTGGTGGGAAAACGTAGTTTTCAACTGCAACTATTAGAAAACGCAGGCAAAATATAGTTTTGTCAAATAGAAAAAACTGTGGTGTGACACCGCATTGCTGCCCCAAACGCACCCTTGACTCCACTCTACATGAGACAAGGGATTTACATTTTAAAATAGAGGGTAAAGCGTGTGAATTTGACCTTCGGTATGATTTTCTTGTAGGTCGTGAAACAAAACATTAATACTTGCAGCACAACCTTCCAATTAGTGCTGCAGGAATTTGTATGCAACAAACGGTGGATGGAAGAAATAATGAGAGCAAGATTGTAACATCTTTCTCCTTCTTGCAAAACATGATAATACTGTCTTACTGGTTCACTTGCATCAATAACCAGATAGACTTCCAAAAGGTTCTCAGCACAAGCTTTCCAATCCATAAAAACACGATCAAAGAAAATGTAAATGAAAGCATTTTTTTTATATATTCATGAGTAGAAGAATTAGTATTATTTGGCCATATTTTTTTCCAATAAAGCAAATTTATTGCATGATATGAATTTCCTACAACCTTGCTTAATATGAGAACAGGCGTACAATATGAAATTTTAATTTCTTTCATATATTCTCAGGCAGAAATACAGCTACTAAAATTCATTCTGTCAATGATAAACAAATGAATCTCATAGACCACCGATGGTTAAAAAAAAATTTTATGTGGCTTTAAATGAAAAGCAATGACATTATATTTCAATGGATAATGGCGACTGCGTGTGCATACCTTGTCAAAAGTTTTAGTCGGATCTTTGGGTTCAACAAAATCCTGACTTGTTACAACACAGCCATATACTTTAAAATCTCTTTTTCTTAATGGAGAGTGATGAGCTAGATCCCCAGCCTACAACATATAAATTTACCAGTAACTTTTACAGTGGGAATATAATTATTATATATGTTTAGTTACCTGAATAACAAAAGTTGGAAAAATACAGGGAAAAACTGAAAAGGTAACCATAAGCAATTAGAAATATACATGTCACAGTACTGAAAATTAACTTCCAATATAAGCACTGGTATAATATCTATCTAATAGTTGGTATGCTTTAGTTACAGTTCATCCACCACTGGAAAAAAAAATGTGGTTCGTGGTTCATCATCATATTATATTATCTAGACTCCATGTTATGTTCAAATCATATATTGTTGAAAACCAATAATAGTATCCAACAAAGTTGTTTTAAATCCTTCAAACTACACAACATAAATATATCTATGTATTATATTACATTTGACAAGACCATACCTAAATACCACTGATGCTTTGATATTGTATCCAAAATGGTTAAAATTTCAAACTAGATTATTCAAGTTTATGTAAGAAGGGATGTGCCTAATATGCAAGTTATTACTCATATTTGTATCTTGTTTTCCTACTCATAGTGATGTGACACATCATGAGGATCAAACAAATGAAACCAGTAGTTTAATAACAAAGAACTCAAGAAAGTTAACCAATCAGAGCCGATTCAAAGCCTATTACAAAAGCCAAGTAAAGAAGAAATAATTAAATTTTAGATTTTATTGTTTTATTTCAAAATGAGCTTCTAGATGTTTGACTTTAAGAGTTTAGAAACTTATATGAGCTAACCATAATTAAAAAATAAATAATTTATGAAGATATTTAACTTAGATCATTCTCTACACATTCTTACCATCACCTCAACGTCCCTAGCATCCTATAATACCTGCCACTACCAAATCCAACCCTTACGTCCACTTCAAAATCCCTCCTAAAACCATTGGCCAAGTTAAGCAAGAGTAGAGCTTAGTCATATTCTCTACCCCTTGAAAAAGAGTTTTCACTCTGAACTAAACCATATACTCCAGATTACTACACATATTAATGAACACCTAAATAAGTATTTCTAGCCCTTTACCCCACTAAAGAAGCAATTCCTCAAAGTGATATTCCAAATCACTCCAAACTAATCGAATTTGGACTAATATTGGCACTTCCACCAATATAGCCCATCTACTCCTTCGTAAACTCCAAAGCACTTCTTTAAAAATTAAACTAAAAAACTCCAAATATTTAATTAGTACCAAAACTTTTTTTACCCTTTTTTCTTACTACTCTTCTAATACTAATTAAATTTGCTCTTTATGGTCGCGTCTTTGGTTCTCTATTATGTATATGCTCTAGTCAATTGAGTCTAGTTTAAATAGCATCTCCTTAGATAGGTGTTAATCCCACAGTATTAAAAGAAAATCTTCTGCATTCTATCCAAGTCTAATCATTAATACTTGTTATTTGTGCTACAATCAACTTGGCAGTTAAGGCAAATTAACACTGACATAGACCAAATTGCACGCTTTAATAGCATTAATAGAATTTCATTTTATATTTCCATGGAATTTTCAAACACATAATAAAGCAAAGACTCCTTGCATTTTAACAACTCACTTCAAATTACTACTTACATTCTCATTTATTAAAAATATTCAACAAATGTAAGCTTATCCACCAAGTTAAAATAAATGTTTGATATTTGCTGCCAGCCAATTAGAAAAGTCACAAAGTAGACAAAATAAAACGTCAATAAGACAGAAAATAATAGAGTGGCCAAAGATTTTAAAGCTACAGTCATTGGCATTAGTCTTCTCCCAACTATCTTGAGTTAGTTCTGCAACAAGTGATGTGGTTTGATAAAACCTAATATTATTCAGTAAAACCTGCAAGGAAGATCTACCATACCGTGTACCATTGTAAAACATAAAGAGTAGCCGCTATGCATTTTCAGTAACATACCATTTCATAAGTGAATATCTTAAGCCAGCGAATACCACAGCTATAGGAACATTATTCCAACAAAGAAATAAGACAAGTATGAAAACAATTACCACGTAATCAATAAGACTTACTAAAATGTTCACTTATGATCCACGGCAGCTTCAAATGCTCTTCCAGAGTAAAAAATAAAATCTTAAAATTGCAAAGCAAGCATGCCTCTAAAAACATGTAAACAAACTTCCAACCCAAATAAGACTTAGTGATGGTTGCCAGAAAGTATACACTAATAAAAAATGCGAGTCTAGTGCATTGAGACAAGCATATATTATCAAAACTGATGATTGATTTCTTTCAATTTTGTAATTCTTTTTTTCCTGTTTTATGACTTATTTTGGAATTCGGCTGATCCATTTACACATTTATGGCAATGACTATGTGGATGGGATGTGTTTTATTCATTTTATAACTCCTAATTTTGGTTGATGTTTGGTTGGGATAGTCATATGTCTGTTGATTGGCAAGAGGAATTGCTTGTTCAATTCAAAAAGGGTTCATTGATTTGGTTCTCTCAAGTACTATTTGCTGTACTAGGCAGCTGAACCATTTCCTACAACCCTTGCATTATCATTTGGGTTATTTTATGCTTTGCACTTAAAGAAAGCAAATATATATGTATTTAGTATAGGTTTTAATTATGAATTCTATATTCTTTAGTTTCATCTACCATTACTGCATGATCCTAAATCAGGGGTGTAAATAAGCTGAGTTAATTAAACAAACTCACGTTTTATTCAACTTAGCTTATTAAACTCCATCCAAACTTTTTGTTTGTTGCTTTTTGCTGAACAAAGTTGTTTGTGAAGATAAAATCTATGAGAAAGTAATATATAAATTATAGAATATACAAATGCATCAATTGTCTCTTCACTAAGTACGCCATATTATATGTCGTCTATTCCATTTATAAGCTATAAGAAACAATATGGTGTGCAAGACAATTAATATGTGTAAATTGAAATTGAAGAAGCATGATGCTGTGCCTAAATTATTGATGGGAGTTTAAAATGTACCAATCGCACAAAAATATGATACATTTGGGTGTTCTAAGTCATCAGATAAAAGTTATTGAGAGATTATTTCTGTAATGTTTACAATGGCGTATTAGTTATTAGTAAAGAGAAAAAAATTGTGGACTATGTGTATTGTAGGGTGAAACTTCAAGCAAGGCTAACTCACTTTTATCATCATCTACATAGGCTTGTCATGATTTTTTTAAACAGAAGAAGTTAGCTTCAGGTTTGTAGTTCAACTCAGGAATAAAAGAGAGCATACACTGAAGGAAAAGTCATTTAAGATCATTAAATGGATAAATTTTATTTTCAACTCTCTAGCCTGAAAAAAGTTGCATCATTGAAGCTTCAAGAGTAAGGAGAAAATCATTGAATAGACAGAAAGATTCAAGGACAAGTTTGATGCGCAACAAACATGCTTAGGATATCTCCTACAAGTGTTAGGTTCAAGTGACATCTAAGTTTTCTATGGTTACGTGGTGCTCAACCCTTTAAGGCTTTACAAGCTTAGAAAGCTTAATATAAATATGAGCCATAAAGGAGATTCAAATAATATTATTTCACAATTGAGCCAAAAGGTAGATTTTAAAAGATAGTGCTTCAACTAATTCACATGATAATTATACTACTAATATGGGTCTTTTTACAATAAATGCAATTAATTAATTATTTATAGGATAAAAATAGAGACAATTTTCTTACAATTCTGTTGTTATGGATAACTCCAAATTAAAATGCAAACAAAATTTAAATTTAAAGTTTATAGCTCCTTAAGATTGTATAAATAAAGAGTAAAAAGTGGAGCACGTGTTAAGGTTTTGTAGTCTATTGCTTTTGAGAAATTGATGAAAAAGAAAACTTAGGTGGTTTCATCATTTGAGGAGCAAATTTAAAAGAAACTTTTGGACTAGCGAACTTTAAATTTTGTATCTCTCTAAGTGGATTTGTATTTCACCAAGATTTTAAAAAAATTTTATATTTGTTTAACCAAAGAGGCTTCTGGCTTATTTTGAGGTGATATTAAATTTAATTGTGTTTGGAGAAGGTTTTTTTTTCTTTTGTTGTGACCCATTTATTTTAAACTTTATTGGCTTCTTAAAAGTGAATTAATTCATCTTTCCTCTCTTGTGACACTATGAATGTAAGTTATTGTATTAATCAAACCATGTAAATTAGTGCATCTTCTATTCATCATAATATCTTTTTTACTGGTTTGTGTATTCATCCTAATCACTATTGCCGTGCACTTTCACTTTAAAAAAATTGACACTAATAATATTTCACCAATTATAGCATGCCTCGATTAACCAAAAATCTTCAACATCACCACCCCTATTTTATTCTTTAATTATGTCTATAAAAGAATAATTAAGACTTTTTTTTTACTTTTTTTATAAAAAATAATAAAGAAATAATATAGCAATCTGTCGAAAGGTGGTGATTGTAGACAACCTCCCCGAATACGGTAGATAAGGTAACTTAAAATCCAAGAAATTGTCCTATTCTATTAACCTATTGGAAAAGCTGAATTTTGAAATATGAATTTATTATTGTGAAAGAAACTTAATTTTGTTAATAAATAGACAAATTTTATATGCATTGACTAGTATGTGATATTGAGGAAAATCATAGCTAGAAATGCCGCCTGAAACTATATGATACAACAGAAAGCAATAAACTACCAATTATAGTTATTTAATATGTTTTGGCACATAGTAAAACTAAATGAAGCATTTAGTAAATAATGAGTCACATTAAATGTTTGCTCCAAGAAAATAATTTAGAGAAAGTCCAACTCTTCATGAATTAATATAGACAAAAGGAAAGGTAAAAAAGGATAAATAAGAGAAAAGATAATTATTAACCTGTTTAACAATTTCTGGGAGCATGCTTGCATCCACGAAGGTGTGCGGAAGTAACTTAAATATCTCCTGTGCACCTTGTGATACTACAAAGACAACTCATCATATAAGCAAACTTATTTGCCATTCAACATGGTTCTTAAAGAAAGGTGTGCAATTCAATATAAATCTGAATGACAATAAAAAATGAAACTTCCACTCCCATGGCAGCATCGCGTGGAATTAACCTATATAACTTGCATGCATACTAAGCTAGCACTTACGCTAGTATTTCTAATGTTTGAGGATGGTGAATCAGGCTATAGCATATGCAGTTAGGCGAGGCAAAGCAATGGCACCACACACACCTCCCAACTGCGTTCCATAGTAAGGCATGCCTACACAAATGCCATGCCTTGAGACACCAGGCAGTGAGGCAAATGCATTATCATGATTTGAGATATCAAAAATAATACTTCAATGTTATATATAGGTTTTTAATGATGATAATTGGGCATAGGATAGTGTAAAGAAAGCATCGCCTGTCGAAGAAGTATGTGCCATTAAAAATATTTGGATCAAATGCAAGACCTTAATCTCTAAAATGCAAAACCATTTTAAGATGAAGAGGGTTAGCCTATGAAAATAAAATAAGAGAGAAAATTACAAATAATAATTGAGAGAGAGCACGGATAATGAATGGTAATATAGAAATAGGGGTTGTTTGATTGTAAGTAATACTATTGTGAAGTACATAAAATGGAAACTTCTGAAATTTCTATAGGCCTTGTTTCAAGGAGCTTTGCCAAACGGCGAAGCTCCTTTAAACGTGGTGTTCATGAAATGGAGCCCAGCATTCACATTTGAAAATGACCAAAAAGTCTCGTTTTTGCAAAGCGGCATCGGCGGACGCTCGAGAAATGGTCTCACACCAAACGATGCCTCGCATATTATCGCCTTTTTGTCCGACGCAAGGGAGCCAGGGCGCCTCTCCAAATGAGGCCATAGTTTAGTTGGCTGAAAAACAAAGGTTGAGTAAAATTGTAATGTATTTGATTTTTTTTTTAATTTGAGCAATATCCAAATGCACAACCTATGCGACGTTCCATGAAAAATCTAATCTTATAATTTAGTGCAATCAACCAAACAATTCAAAAATAATTTTAATGTATCTCAATTATCTTTTTCTATATTCCTTCTACTCTGTATTTTAACCAAAAAAAAAAAAAAAGAGCTTCATAGGTAAAGATTAGATTATCCTCAAATTATACATGCACCAAACTTAAAGGTTTAATTGTGTTTAGTTACAATAATCTATTTAGAAAACCTTTCAAACATGAAATGCAATTGAAACTGAAAATTCATTAGGTTGTCCAATACAATTGAATGTGATGTGATGATTGTCATTTTATATGCTTCCAAAGTATTCCTCGTTGATCAATGAATTTTTGAGAATTATAGTTATTCTTTAGTGCCCATTTCTTTCGAGTGGGCCCTATGGGGGTACCTGACAACTTTAGCAGGTGTAATAGCTAGAGTGTGTCATGTACATTTAAAAATAAAAATTTGATGACATAAAAAACTTAATATAAGATGTCATTTTTTTAGGAGATTGCACCCATCAACATAGAGTTTTAATAACAGTTAATTTTCCAAACAAGCATGAATTTATTTTAAATAAAAATTGAAATTAAAGTAAACTTCCACTAAGGACCTGAAGATGCAAGATGTTAGATCTTAATTCCTGGCCTCCTGAAAGGACATTAGTAAGGCATACCTAGGCAAGCACCATGACTTAAGACGCCAAAAAATGAAGTGAGGCCCTTGCCTTGATTTGAATGATTAGTTTTGACAATTTAAATGTTAAAGATGAGTTCATTCTTATGATTATAACCTAAGATGTGATAAAATGAAAAGAGCAAGAAAGGTTGGGAAAACAAGCATGCATTCAGCATTCCTCGAAATCAGTTGATCAGGTGTTAAAGCAAGAGCTTAGATTCTACAGTGAAAAGTCTTATAAAAGAAGGTGAGTCAAAAAAACGAAGGGAGAGATTGGGAATAAAAAATCAATGATACCGATGGAACATTGATGCTGATAAAAGGAATAGATAGAAATGAAAATTTTCTTGTACCTAAGCCACACGTACAAAAACCTCAAGTAATATAACTAAAATTGTTTTAAAAAATGAAATTAAAAATTGAATTATTATTTTGTCAATTTGATGATTATCAATATATACTTTTTAAACATATTCCCATAGTTAAAATACATTTATAGAAAATATAACTTTTTTTAAGCACCACACTACGCTCAGGCGAGCGCCTATGCATTGATAACCATATCACCTTTACTATTTCCAGTGCATATATGGAAACTCTAGAAAAAGTAAACCTACAAGTGCAATAGAATAAATTGATGCCAATTCTTTCAAGCGTTGAATATCTATAACCAAGTTTATACCATAATTTCTAATTAAAAACTACTGAGAAAAACAATGTTGAGCTCAATCGCTTTGAAAGAATGAGGAATAGCAGCAGCAATGGAAAACAGAACAGCATGCAAAATCAATATTATAATGAGCAAAATAAAGATTTGTCCAGCACAAAACAAAAAAAAAAATTGCAGATTGCAGATCAACCATTGCAGTAATAAATTGCAGATCAACCATTGCAGTAATTGTAATTAAAAAGAAACAAAATCATTATAATACACTGAAAGACAAGCATATTTCAAATAAAGAATAAGGATGATAGATCAACCATTGATTAAGAATTGAGAGACTGGCGCGCTTCATATGCACATGATGAAAGATGTCATTTAATGATTGATGGAATAAATAGAAAAACACAAAATTAAACATGAGTTTCAAAGATATAAACTAGAATCAGGTTCAGAATCATGCCTACGGGTTATCTAGTAAGCTCCATCATGATATGCTAATCCCATGTTCGAAAATGGCAGTCATTTAATACAAACCATATAACTCTGATTGAATGAGCTAAAGCAATACAATTAAACGATACGAAGTTATGCTTTGCAGTCCATTTCTGGAACACAAAAGATAACTAAATTGTTAAGCATGGTCATCGTAATCAGGTTCATAATCAAGCCAATAGTCTATACATAAAACTCAACAAGGATGTGCTATGATTGTGTTCTAAAAAGGTCTTCATTTGTGCACAGGAAGATTTGCCCAGCAAAACTATGATTGACTGACATATAGCTCTAATCCAACATGAAGTTAAATCATATTGCTGATTTTAAAAAAATAATTGCACAGCAGTACAGTAGCACAGCAGATGATAAAAGATTAAGAAAATCACTAAACAATATTAATGTAAAATGCATGTGTTTGTGTGCAGATATGGGTGCAAGCAAATGCATCTAAGTTTACACCCGAGTCAAAATTAGTACTATAAATCCAACTAATGTAATCGGCAGCATTAAAGTCACAAGCCTGATCAAAAAAGTAAACAAAAATCAAAATTAACACAGCGAAGAAATTGATACCATTTCCAGCCCCAACAAACACAAAGACTATAGGGGAAACTCCAAGCGGTAATCCCTGCGTAGCTATTTCTTCGCCTACAGCAATTACTGCAGCCTTTGCAGCAGCAAGGGATGGATACGTGTGAGAAGCTCCCAAAGATAGAAAAGGTGTTGAATATCCAAGGTTTAGATATCCTGAAAATTGCATAAAGAAAAGTTCATATCACTTCATATCACTTCATATCACTTGACAATTGACAACAAGAACAATCTATAAGATATCAAGCGTTCCCTTGTTCGCTTCATATGTCAAAAACAGAAAGAATGTTGATGTTTTTTCTACAGAAAATTTGATAATATGGTATCCGATTTCATTTTTAACAGATTATTAAACAAGTAGATAAAAGTTATACTCCAGTTTTCAACAGCTCAAACTTGAAAGAACTGTAGCCATTTACAAAGCAAAATGTTAAAAAAATGCAATTACATAAATGCTACAGATCAAAGAATAAACTGATGATAGCAACGGAAAAAGAAGTTTTGAGGTGAACGGCCATACGTTTTCCAAGTTCATGTAAGAAATCAATTAATCCAGCTCTACCAGCAAACTTTCCAAAGGCAAGTAGTCGTTTACCATTATCCCCCACTATCAACTCATAGTCATACAAAGTAGCACGTTGAGAGATAATCTGAAACAGAAAGCAAGATCGTCAAAACAAAATGTAGAAGAAGCAAATGGTTCAAAAGATGACCAAAGTGATTGCCTTATCTAACAAAGGCATGTTTTCCTTTTGGGCCTTATGGGTGTGGGAGAAAAAGGCATAAGCTCTATCTGGAAGAATCATCTCTAACTGCACAAAATAATCAAATATCAACTTCACAATTCAACTATTTGATATTTAGAAACTGCGCACGTAAATAAAATTTTAAACCGGAGAACCTCACAAACCTTTGGTTGTTTGACACCTAAAATGAGACCACACTCAGATAAGTCATCTGATACTTCACACCCAACATCCTCATACTGAAAATCGTGATAAATTCGCCTTGTGCTCGGCTGCACAATTATCCTATTAACACCACTTTTCCCCTTTCCACCGTGCAGAAGCCGAGCACAATGTGCAGGGGTTAGTGGAGCTCTCCTCTCCCATATGTTTGAAGACTCAGAAAGAATACCAACAATTCCATTACCCAACATGGTGACAGTAACCAATTTTTAACTGCAATAACAATTCAGGCTGTCACTTGTGTATAAGATCACATAGTGGTAAATCAAGAAAACAAAACTGCAACCAAACTGAAATATTGAACAAATAGATTGCATCAGCCATGTGATACCAAGAAAAAAAAAATTTTTAAACGAGAAAATTCAAGGAGAAATGCACATTGTGCTACAGTTATAAAATCGTTGAAATTCATTTCGGTCAAAAATAAATAAGTTAAATTTCATTTTTTTTTTTTAATTTGAACACCCCGGCATGCATCTTAACAAAAAACTAGACATTCAATACGTGCACCAACGGATTAAAGCCCACGTGACTAAATACAAAACTTGAAAACTATGAGAAAAGAAGAAGATAGAAAAGCTATTTTATTCATTCATAATTCTTTGCTTATTACAGGTACAATATATAGTCAGCCGAATGACAGACTTGTAAATACACGAAGGGACATATGTGTCGTTCACACAGGAAATAAAATATCTATATAATGTATTACATTGAGGAAACCCCCTTATTTCTATTGCAAAGGTCGCAACAAGGCGACGAGGTTCAATGGTGAAAGGAGGAGATGGGCTGAGGTGAGAAGATGAGCTGAGGCAAGAAAAAGAATCTACACAACTAACCAGATAAGTCTTGTTACCCCCAGTCAAGCTAAGCATCTAATGTAGCGATGGTCAGCTAGCGAGTAAGTTCGAGATGCGGCTTGGGATTTAGGGCTTTTGTGAAAATATTTGTCGGTTGGTCCTAGGTCATGATATGGTGTAGAGTTATGTTGTTGTGTTTGTGAACCTGAATAAAATATCGATCCACTTCTATATGTTTAGTTCTGGCATGGATGACCGGACTATGTGCGAGAGCAATTGCAGAGGTACTGTCACTGTAGAGATGAACCGATGAAGACCATAGCAGCAAATTCTTGTAACAGCCTTTGTAGCAATAAGAATTCAGATGTGGTGGTTGCTAGAGCACAGTATTCCGCCTCTGTTGATGATCTAGCAATCGTTTATTGCTTTTTGGAAGACCATGAAATTAATGTGTTGCCAAGTTAAGCACAGTATCCTATGATAGACTTTTTGTCTTTAGTGTCACTTGCCCGGTCTGCATTTGAATATGCAGAAAGGGAGGCAAACCGTATTTTGGGTTGCATATGAGGCATCGAAGAAGCCAATTAAGTAGTTGAAAATGACTTGTGTTGGGTTGATGCATATACTGGCTTAAGAAATTAGTGTTGAAATTAATGTCAGACCTGATTTCTATAAAATATTTAAAGCACCTATAGATGCCTATAATGTTGCGGATTTTCTAAGGGAGTGTCGTTTGTTAAGTGTTTGCAAGGTTCAGTGGGTAACAAAGTTAATACAGACTAGGCTTGCATCATACTAGCTTTAGTTAATAATTCACAAAGATAGTTACTTTGGTGTATGAAATAGCTGGTAGATGTTTAATTAATTTGAAGGCCTAGAAAGTGTTATAAAGGGACTAATTGTTTTAGGTTAAATTGCAAGCCAAATTTGTGTATTATTTTGTAAATTTCGAGTTTTGAGTTACTAGTTATAAGTATGACGTCAACATAGATGAATAGATATATTCTAACTGTGTTGTGGTGCTAGATAAGGAGAGAGTGATCAGATGTGCTTAATGTGAATTGTTGAATATATAGATAATTACAAGACGTGGAATACCACTGACATGATGTCTGCTTTAAACCATAAAGTATTTTGTTAAGTTTACAAACATAGTGTGGGTGTTGAATATCGTAAGGTGTTGAATATCGTAAAATTCAGGTGGTTGAGTCATATATATTGTATCATAAAGTTTTCCATGTAAGAAAAACATTTGAAACAACAAGTTGTTGTATATCCTAATTTTTATTAGTGACAATGGTAATGAACATGCATATGGTAGAAAATTCTGCTACCATGTTGAAAGTTTCATGAAAGTCTATGTCGGGTAATTGCTTAAAGCCCTGTGCTACCAATTGTTCCTTATAACGAGCAATGGTGTCATCACTATGGTATTTAATTCGAAAGGTCCACTTACAACCTAGTAAATTTTGTTGCGGGTGAGAAGGAACAAGGGTCCTGGAGAGCAAGGAATTCAGTGGACATGGCCTTCCTCTAGTGAGGTTGTTGTAAGGCATGTTTAAAAGTGATGGGAGTGTTGGCTTGAGTGTAGAAGGCTTTGTTTTTCCCATTTGGGTTCTTGTGAACATGGGATGGGTTCTAATAGGAGGAAAGGAAGGGTTGGACAACGATACAAAGGAAGCATTGGTGGAGTGTCGTTGATCAGGGATGGGGTTAACAGTGAAGGTATTGATGGGAAGAGTGGAAGAGGTGGAGGGATGCAGGTAGTAGAATTGTTGGGAGAATGAATATTAGGTGTGGTGGAAATTGGTATTAAGAGGGATGAAGGGGTATAGATAGGAGTGGGAGAGGGAAGACTGGTGAGTGGCTATTCTTTAAAGGGAAAGTAAGATTCATTAAATGTGACATGTCTTGAGATGATTACTCATTCCTTGTGAATATTGTAACACTGAAAATCTTTGTGCCGGTTATTGTAACCCAAGAAAACACAAAGAGGTGCTTTGGGAGGAATTTGTGGGTTGTTGCAGGGGGATACCAAGGGTACCAGGTGCAACAGAAGGTTTTCAGGTTGTGGTATTCAGAA